GACTACTGGAAACATGCTCTCCACGTCCACTCTATTCAGGCTTCTCAGTATCCTGGAAGTTTCAATGAGATCACCTTATCTTTCTAAACTCCATCGAGTGCAGACCCAGTGTCCTCAATTGCTCCTTATATGACAAGCCCTTCGTCCCAGAGATTCTTCTTATAAACCTCCTTTGCACTGACTCCAGTGTCAGTACATCCTTCCTTAAATATGGGGCCCAGCTGGTCCAAGCCCTTCTGTAGCCTCCCCGTTTCAGTAATACTATCTGTTCCCCCCAGCTACTCTTGTATCATCTGCAAACTTAGCAACAACATCCCTAGTTCCTTCATCCAGACCACTAATGTATAATGTGAATAACTGTGGTTCCAACATTGACCACTACAGAATTCCACCATCGTCAGCTGCCTTCATGCAAAAGACCCCTTTAGCCCCACTCTCTGCCTTCTGCCAGTCAGCCAATCCTCTATTCATGCCTGTACCTTTCCCCTAATACCGTAAGCTATTATCTTATTTCGCAGCCTCCTGTTAAAGACCTTGTGAATTAGTTTTCCAGAAGGCCTTTGACATCTACTGGCTCTCCTTTGTCCAACTTGCTCATTAATTCCTTAAAAGAGTTCTACCAGATTTGTCAGGCATGACCTCCCATTGATGCAGATATGCAGACTCAGCTCTATTTTACCATGCACTTCCAAGCAGTCTGCAATTTCATCCTTAAAAGATGGACTTTAGAATCTCAGGCTAACATATCTATAATTTCCTGTCTTCTGCCTCCCTCCCTCTTTAAATAGCGGTGTTATACTAGCCACTTTCCAGTCCTCTGGGACCCTCCCTGACTCCAGTGATTGCTGAAAGATCACCACCAATGCCTTCACAATCTCTTCAGCTTATCTCCTTCAGCCCTCTGGGGTGCAGTCCATCTGGCCCGGGTGATTTATCCACCTTCAGACCTTTCAGCCTCCCCAGCACCACCTCCTTAGTGACGGCCACTACAATCACCTCTGCCCACCAACTCTTTTGGAGTATGCTACTGGTGTCTTCCACTGTCAAGGCTGAAGCAAAGTACCTATTCAGGTGCTCCGCCACTTCTCTGCTCCCTTTTACTACGTCTCCAGTGGTCCAATATTCACTTTTGCCTCTCTCTTACCTTTTTGGTACCTAAAGAAAAAACACTCTTGCAATCTTCCTTTATGTTACTAGCTAGCTTCTCCTCATATTTCATCTCCCTCCTTATTGCTTTTTCATTTATCCTCTACAGGTTTTTAAAAGTCTTCCCAATCCTCTAGCTTCACACTAATCTTCACTACATTGTACACTTTTTCTTGAATGCTATATCTTGTCGGCCATGGTTGCCTCATCCTCCCCTTACAATGTTTTTTCTTCCTTGGTATAAATTGCTGCTGAATTACCTCCTGAATTACCCTCAGAAACTCCTGTCATTGCCACCCCACTGTTTTCCCTGGTGGGCTTCCCTTCTAATCAACTCTGGACAACTCCTCACTCACGGCTTTGTAGTTACCTTTACTCAATTGTATTACCATTACATCTGATTCCAGCTTCTCCTCCTCAAACTGCATGGCGAATTCTATGATATAATTGTCACTGCCCCCTACGGTTCCTTCACCTCATTACACATCACCAAATCCAGAACTGTCTATTCCCTCATGAGCTCTACAACAAACTGCTCCAAGCAACCATCTCGTCAACATTCCATGAATTCCTTTTCTTGGGGTCTGTTACCAACCTGATTTTCCTAGTCCACTTGCATATTCAAGTCCCCCACGATTACTGTAATAGTGCCCTTAAGTGCCTTTTCGATGTCCTGATTTATTTTCTGCCCCACATCCTGACTAGGAGGCCTGTACACAACTCCCATCTGGAAATTTACACTTTGGCAACTCAACTCTACCTACACTGATTTTATACCTTCCAACTTTATATTACTACTTGCTATCGAAATAATTTTATTCCTTATGAACAAGGCAACTGGCCCCTCTGCCTGTCCTTTCGATTTAGTTCCCAGTCCTGATCCCCTTGCAGCCACATCTCTGACGTCCACAAAATTGTACTGACCAATTTCAATCTGCACTGCAAGCTCACTTGCCTTGTTTTGTTTACAGCGTACATTTAAGTTCAACAGCCTCAGTCCTGTGTTGACGGTCCCTGAAGTTAGATTCCTCAAACATTTCAAACTCTGTCCTTTTACTTGTTCTGGAAACTTTAATAACCCCCCTCTAACTTTCTCCATAATTTTCCATGCAATTGACCCCACCCACTATTTAGTTTAGAGCCCTATCCACAGACCTCCTTATGCAATTCACCAGGACTCTGGTCTCAGCATGATTCAGGTGGGGCTCGTGACATTGGAACAGCTCCCTCTTTCCCCAGTCCTGGTGTCAATGCACCATGAATTCAAACCTATTTCTCCCACAGCAATCTTTGAGCTACCCATTTATCTCCTTAGTACTTGTTGACCTTCTTTCAATTAGCTCATGGTTCAGATATTAACAAAAGTATTACCACACATTTGCTTCTGCTCTTAAAATTTAGCCTCTAGCTACTCATACTTCCTCAGCAGAACCTTTCCTCGTTCTACCTACATCATTGGAAAGGGACGAAATCAACAATGGGTATGGCATTTACATACAACAACAAATGCGTTCCTTCTGCTTACCTCTAAATTTGGAAAACAATTTCACAGCTAAAAGCAGATTAAGAATGCAACTACACAACCCAAAGAAAGATCCGGACTTATGCCTTTCAGACCTTCACATCTTCAGCATCTCACAACTTGTACAATTTGACTTGGCAGGTAATAAAATTCAGCAAGACTTCTAACTTCTAATCTGGATTTGAGCTTTTTAACTTCTATGACGAAGACTTTTATAGCAAAATGCATTGCCTACGTACAAGGAGAAAGGAAAGACAGGCACTTGGCAGAGAGGGGTATGTTAGTTTCAGAGAAAAGGTACTGTATAAATTGGCCCTAGTCTCTGTAGCTAAGGCCATATAAATCAACAATTCCTGGTCACTTGGGCTGTCATTGTGGCCTCCATCCTAAAAATGATGCAATTTGGATGTAATGCTTTGTGCTGTCAAAGACCTACATGAACAGTGGTTCATGGAAAACTGTTAATGTCTATGTAACTTTGACAGTAAGAATCAACTGGCATGAACTGGGGCCATGAGGAATTAATTACAACTTGCAGTAATAAGCCCTTGTTTAGAGCATCTTCAGAAGCAACGCAATAATGTTTACACCTAGGAATGTCAAGACAGCTTTTTCTTAAAATAAACACATTTACACGGTAGCATAGAGGAACTAAATTATCCCATGCATAACACATTATTTCACAGCCCTAATGTGGTAACTTCACAAGAAAATGAAAAAGCAGTTCGAGCACTACTCGACCAAAAACCCTTCAGCAATTGTGGATCTCTCACCGGCTGCAGCAAGCTTAACAAAATCAACGAACGAAATATTCCAACGCACGCTGACAATGCCAATTTTGAAATTCGTCCAACAAACACAAAGATCTGAAAACAGTGCGAGATTAATATCTACCGCTACGGGGGAAGGGGAGCAGAAAAAAAAAAGCGAAAACATAAAATAACCCAAAGAGAAAAATGATGCATCAGATTTATTTTATTTTTTAAAAAAAAAAGCTGAAAAGATAAGAAGGCTTAGATTTCAAGATATGTGTGTGTGTGTGTTTTTTTCCGGCTTCCTTTATTGCAGGAGGATGTTGAAATGCCTTTTAAAACGTCCCTGGACACATGATGAAGCTTTTGAAGCTCCTTCCCCTAACAACCGAACAGAAATGGCGCCCTGTTTGTACACAGTAGAGAGAGGGGAAACTGCGGCAGCTGCACTGGGGGAAATTTAAAAAAAAATACCCAGCACAGCAATCATTAATTTTAACGGGGGGGGGGGGGGGGGGGATACAAAACGGGTCGTTTTGTTTTCGTAAAAACATTGAAAAACCACCACACACCGAAATAAAAACAAGACACTGAGCGACCGGGCGCCGCCATCTTCAGTTCCCTTCACAAACGGAACCGGCGGAAAAAAAAAGGTTTGACATTTCTCAAGTTATTTAAAAAAAAACGTAATGAATACATTCCTTAGACTTCCCGCTACCAGTCCTCTGTGTAACAAAAAACTGAGAAAGAGGCAAACGAGAAAGAAAAACCTATGCAGGGAGGTGCAGATCGTGCAATTTATTGATAATTGCAACTCTAGCTCACTGTGAATATTGCTGCAACATTTTTTATTTCCCATATTATTCAATAAATTGCGTGGACTAAAAAGAATGTCATGTAGTATGAACACGAGAGCGGGGTCACACGGCATTTCATTTTCTTTTTGACGAAGACAAGGAGAAATAAAACCGACATTCTCTGGATTGTCTCAAGTCACCAACATTTACCTCAGGATGTGCTTATCAAACGGGCGAGGATTTAACAGGAAGACGGATATTATTTTCTTCCCAAAAATAAACAATAATAATAATTATTGAGTGGGTGAGAAAGACGGCACTGGCAGCTTTTGGGGGGGGGGGATGGAATTTGGCGCCAAAAGGCGCGCTCCGGATTGTGCTGCGGGCGCGCGGCCGCCATTTTGAGGCGGACCCCGGGGGAGGGGCAGAGCGGCGGCGGCAGGATTCAATCCGGTCACCGGTCTCTCCCTCCCCGTTAGCTTCTCTCTGTCTGTCTGTCTCTCTACCTCTCGCCATCTTCTTAACCCTCCCCACTTTGCCTACGGCCCGCCATTTCAGTGGCAGTGGTGGCGGCAACGACCCCGCGCGCGCGCGCGCACACTCATCCCTTCCAAAACCCCCGCCCCTCCTCCTCCTCCTCCCACGTCTGTTGTCAGGAAGGTGGGGGTGGGGAGCGAGAAGAGGAGCTGCTGCTGCTGCGGCTGGTGGCGGCGCTGCTGAAGGCAGACGGGAGTTGCGAGAAGAAAACACATCACGGGTATAGCGTCATTTATTCATATCTACCTGAATTGTAAACATGCAGCTCGTCCACGATCCCTTCGTTGCCCCCACCGAAAACAACCATCAGCTCTTTGATGGAGACAGCGCGGTGGCCATGGCGAGGCCGGGGGACCGGCCCGCTCGAGTTGGTTACGCGCTTCCATTTGAGTATGGGAGCCGCCATCTTGGCGCCGCTTTCCCCGAAAAGGCGGCGGGCGAAGAAGAACGGAGCCCGGATGTTGTCACCACAGGACCCCTCCCCAACGAAAGACCCATACTCCGGGCTGCCTTAATCCCTCGCCTGCAACATTTCTTTAGGAGAACAATTCCCGTCGAACCGTCAGCCCCAATTTCCTCCTTTTCCATTAAAAAAAAATCATTTTTATAAGCGTTTAAAGCCTTACTGAGGCGGCGTCCACTTTCGTTTAGCAGGTTCCGTTTATTCTTCTCAGGCAAATATTTCGGAAAACTAAACGGGGGCGGGGCTGCTAGGGTGGAATACCCGGATGTCAAGCAGGCCCCCAGGGTGGGGTTGGGACGATTTCTGTCATTTTTTTTACTGGCGGTTCTTTGTCCTTGTTAGATGAAAAATAATATTCTTCCAAGTTGTACTTTTTTTTTTGAAAAGCCTAGTCATATTGTTAAAATAACACCAAATATCAACAATTCAGTTACAGGCAATTTCGGCAGACACCGAAAGACTAGTGATGAATCCCCGGATGATCGAAATACCAAAAAGGGAAAGACAATTTTTTTTAGACATACAAATAACGTAAACAGAAATAAAGTATTAAAGACTGCTCTATTAAATACACATTCATTGAAAACATTTCTTGATGAAATAGGCTAATACACTAGCCACCTATAAAAAGCCCTGGCGACAAAAAGACCCTAGTGTTAACCAAAATTTGTTTAAAACGATTTGACATTTTAAGTCTTTTTAAAGAAAGACAGTATTTAAGTGAGAATTTATACAAGTTAATACTTATTAACCAGAGGTATATTTCTTTTGCAATCAGGCGTAGAAGTTAGACAGCTCATCTTGGGTCCAAATGAGACATGTACCAAAGTGAAGTGTTACTTAGCTGAACTTTACCATTAGGGACGATAATTGCACTTGTAGCCGATATATTTGTTTATTAGAGAGAATAGAAACATATTTTATTGTTTGCTTTTTTAAAAAAAATGCTGGATCTGGTCCCAAAGTGCACAGTCAATTAAGTACTTTATGTAGTAAAGTACAACAATGAACTAGCTATAATTGTAACATTGGGCATAGTCGTCCGTTTGAATACAGTAATATCCTACAAACAACATAATAAACATCTAATACTTGTCCCGAGTTCAAATCGCAAGCCGGGAACGAAAGCAAAAATCAAAGCTGTCACTTCTAGTGCATCACCTGCAGCGTCAAAGGTGCTGTCTTTAAGATGGGATCTACCATTGCCCCATCGTTTGAATGGACAAAGCTTCCAAGGCGCTATACTGAAGAACAGTGGAGATTGCATCTATCCCCACCCCTAGTGTCCTTGTCAGTAGTCATCCTTGAATCAGCAGTCATCCTTGAATCAGCATCAGAAAATTAGCTGGTTGTCACATTGCCTAGGAACATGCTGTGTACAAAACTTCCAACAAAACAAGTTATGAATCAGTTTGGAATGCATTGCTCGTAAAACGTGATAGATAAATACAGGACTTTTATTTGGATATTGTTTTGTGATGTTTGAGTGTAAATATTGGACAGCATGCAAAAAGAGGAAGATTCCTAAACACACAGGCACACGTCTTTTTAATCACATGCCATGTTAGAGACAGTGCGAGACCACAGAGCGATTATGTACCGACCTACCCTTTTAATTCAACTTTATCTAGTGTGCATACAAACTAGGAAATAATCAAATCTAAATGTCTGACAATTCTGAGTATTAAAAATCCCAGGAGCTGGTTTGAATCCCAGTACTTCAGTTTAACAGGATGTGAAATTACTTTTAAGTGTTCCCTCTAGTGGTTCAATTGGTAAATGCATCCAGCACAGAGCAGAAGCACAAGGAATCCATTATTCTCCAGTCAGAAATAAGTTTTGACTCTAAAACGATTAACAAATTAAACAAAGAAAATTTTTATATTTAATTGGTTACATTACCAAGTACTTAGATATCACTTTTACTTTCAAATCAATGGTTTGCTGTTTTTCTCTCCATAAATGCAGCATGACCTGCTTAACATATCCAGCACTTTCTGCTTGCATTTTAAGACTTCCAGCATCCACAGTATTTTTCATTTTTCTAAAAAAAAATCTGTACGTATTTTTGGCCTGTACACTGTCAACCCGTTCATCATCGTTTATTAGTAGGGTCTTTGTCTGGCCGAACATGATTGATTAGAAGATGGTGTCAAGCAGAATTAATAGCATAATCAAGAAGCAGTCACAGGCATTCAGTCTCTTACCTGAAAACAGTAGGAATGCAGACATGCTTTTCAATCATTTCCAGCTTTTGGTAAAGGTGACAAATACATGATGAGTGTTTGATCAAACAGTAAATGGAGTTTCATTCAATCCCAGGCTCTGCCTCGCAAGTAACTAATTTTCTCCTATTCCCCCTTCACAAACTAACTCTCCACACTTCATTCCTTGTCCCATATAAAATTGAGAATTTCAGTTGAATAATTCTGCTTATTTTCCAACTTTTTTGGTTCCTGTAAGATGTCTTCCCCACTGTTATTCATATTTTATAACAGCTATTCAACTGTAGTCATCATACGAGGAACAGCTGAACCTGGGCTGATTTGTTTTTCTTTGCCAAAGGCAATTACAACTTCACTTCCAGCAATTAGCCAATTTGGTATACACTGGATTTTTTGGTTCAAGATTTTTTGGGAAAACAGATTTACTTCATGCTGGTAGTGAACAGTCAGTCATTTTGCTTGATGGCAGTTACTGATCATTTACTCTTGTAGTTTTACACACAAATTAAGCAGGTTAAGGATTTCAGTTGGGGACGTGTGTGCATCTAATGTCACTGGTAACAATGAGTTAGAAAGAAATCAGCAAAATAAAACAATTTTAACCATCAAAGAACAGAAATTCTTGCATTCACCCAGTGTCTTGGTATGTCTTTTAGAGCCAAGCATTTTTGAATTGTAGTTCCTGTTGTAGGACACAGCAGGCAATTGTGCTCAGCAAGAATCCACACAAGAGAAATAGCCAGATCAGCCACGATCAAATAGTAGAGCAGGCTCTATGGGCTGAATGGTCTAATTGTGCTTCTATATCTTATGGGTCTTGTTTTCTAGTGGCTGAGACAGAGGTTCTGGTTCTAACAAAATGTCCTACAATCTAAATGAGTTAAATTGTGATGTGAATAATTTACTGTTGTACAATCAACACTGAGGCAAACTATGAAACAACTGTAATTTCCTCCCCTCCTGGTATCCCAAATCTTTCTGGGTGCAGAGGTTTGCTGGTTGTGGTAGTCGTGTGCAAGCACACATGTGTAATTTCCTTCAGTAGTTGACTGTTTGTAGACAGCAAGTACTCAACTGACCATCCATCATGTGTGGTAGATGATACACCCACTGCCAAATCTAAAATGGACTTCAGCTGATGGTCAGACACACACTTCCCTGCAAAGGCCACTTCACAGCTATCGGATATCAAATATCTCATGGATGTTTCTCTTGCTCACTTGGAGTTGGAGATTTCTTGATGGATGTATAGCATTTGACATGCCTTCCTGGTCCAGAATCCAACTATTGCATCACCTCTAACTCAGTCCTCCCTCAGATCTCCCCCAAAGTATGAGTAAGAGAGATGGAAAGATGTAGTTTAAAATTTACAACATTAGCTACAAGTATCAGAGAGACAGGAAGCTTGGTTTCGTTGTACTTTTAATTTTTGCTCCTTCCATTTTAAAAAAAATCCAAGAGAGTGTATTGAAAATTTGTTTTAGACATTGGGTGGGGAGGGTAGGAGAAAGAAAGAGAGAAGTGTTGGGGTGGAAGCTGAGTTGGCATGGGAAAGACATAGGAACAGCCATGCAGAGCTTTGGAGGTTTCACAGATTCACAGTAAAAAAAAAAACACAGCCTTTTCTTATCTGTGTTACAAAAAGTTTAAAAAAAAATCTCAAATGATTACACAACGGGAGCATTTAATCTGCATAGGTTCTTCAAATGAACAGTGATCATTTACACACACAGCTCCTCACATTGCATCTTGTTCCGTGCTAACAGCCACCCATATTCTCTCCACCTCTCCCAACCTCCAGCCCCCTTTCCAACACCAGGTTCTTTTGGCAGCTGCTGTCAACACCTCAAACTAGTCAGGGTCAAGCGGAGCAGATTGCTTAAGAATTGAAAAGGACAACAAAACTTCTCTCCCAAATGCCGTATAAACTTCAATGCCTGAAGCAGTCACTGCTCCTTGACCCATTTATACTTGACTCTTGTTATACATCAAGAGAGAAAAAAAAGAAACAATTGATTTAATACCATCTGATCTTGCATTTACAGGAGAGCAGGTGATTAATCAAATGCACACAGGGCTTTGCTGATTGCTACTACAAGGTGTCCAGGATAGCATCGATCTTGGACACCAGGTCTTGCCGCTTGGAGGAGAGGTGTTTGTCACTTTCTATGTATGTGTCCTTCTTCACTTTGCCAGCCACCAGCCGTTCTGCTTCTTGAGAAGCCTTCAGTGCCAGATCCTTCACCTGGCCATCCAGTTTTTGGATCTCAGCCACCTGTGGAAGAGAGTCAGAGTCAGCCAGTGAGCTACACACAGCCCAAACCCAGTGCTTCCACCTCTCCTGACCAACAATCACCCACTGCACCCAGTCAAGCAACATATCATACCTCAATAACCACTAATGGAACAGAACATCCCAAGTGGGAACAAGGTGGTGGTTCTCATGGAGGAGATGAGCTCAGTGAAAATGACGGCAGATAGGAGAATGTGAATTCAGGGTTGAGGCAGAAGAGAACCATTTGGGAGAGTCTGGCACACTGAGCTGGGGAAAGGAAGGAAATGGCAAGATCTCACTCTCAGTAATAGAAGTCCATGAGTTCCTCTAATGTCAATGAACAGAAGGAAGAGGAAAAATGTGGTTTAAGGAGTTGGTTTGTATCAGAGAAGAGAAACCAGGGTGTACTTTTGCATTCCAGGGTGATTCCTCTAGTGGTCTACAGACCGCCTATAGTAACTACAAATGTAGGACAAAACGA